ATCGACCGAACTTGACCCTCTGCTCTGCGGCCTGTTTGGTCAGTCTTTCAGTACGCCCCTCGAATCCCACGCGCGAATCTACCGCGGCTTCCAGAGGCTGGGACTGAACATCAGCGAGGCGCTAGACGAAGGCGACACGCGCCGGGTGAAGCATTACCTGGCATCACTGACAGCGCTTGCTGGCATCTGCGTAAAGTCTGCGGAGAACTTGGGACCATACCCCGGATGCGGCCTGAATGCTATGCTGTGTTACATCAACAGCAGGCTGCTCGACTGCCTGGCGAACCCCGGCAAGGTTGACTATGAGGCCGCTGCTGCCAACGCACTCCTGGATATGGCCCGAAGGGAGAACAACCGGGGGGCCCGCAGCCGCGATGACGATTGGCACTACGACGACAGGCACTACCGTGACAAGAAGCGCCGGAAGTACTAACGTTGGATAATGTAAGTCTAAGTCGGGAAACTCCGGTCGGGGGATTATGGCACAAGAACTACGCTTCCTGTTATAGCCGGGGCCCGGCTTTTGCCCCAGGGGGGCGTGCGCTCGGCTTCTTTCCCCAGGGTGGGGCGCCCCAAGGGGGGGTCAAACTGCAGGGCAGTCTTGGGCAGCGGTCGCCGCGGTTAGGGATGGCCGCCTGGGCCGCACTGCAGTAAAACCTAGTACCACGCAGCTGCGTTTTTCTCTCTTTGGTCTGCAGTGTAAGGTCCATGTCAGCGCTTCGCATCTTCATAAGGAGCAGCCGCTAAGTACCAAACGTTAGCTTAGTCCTGAAGGAGCGAAGCGAAGCGTAGCGAACGTAGGGACTGAGCATGGTTTGGTACGACAGATCTTAAGGCTGCTCCGAGTACTTATGTTCGTTGCTCTCTGGGTTCAGGCATTCTGCCTTCACTTTTCGAGAGCACTCACATCGCTGTGAGTACCAACTTCCCCGCCCATTCGCCCGAGCCTCCCGGCTCGTGCCCCACCCCTTTCTCCTCCTCAGGTGCTGGCCCAGGCGGCGATGAGCGATATGGGCGCTGTGGGCCTCCTCTTCTTCCCTGGATGGCAACTTCCTCAGTGGTTCTCGGCTTTGCTCATTGTTTCGCTGCCATTAGCGTCTTGGGCTTTTGCACTAGTGGTGGTGGGGGTTTTCGGCTGTGGTTGTTCTTTGTTCTCGGCGCTTTGTTCCCGTTCCCGCCTACCTTGGGGCCTGGGGGGCTGCCTGCCTAAACTTAGGTGCCGGCCGGAGCTGCAGCGAGGTATTTTGCTTTTGTGTGCCCCTGTTCCCGTTTTTACTCGCTGCGCTTGCTCCGTGTTGGCTTTCGTATCGGGAATGCAGGGGCTGGCAGATGGTCCAGGGTTGCGCTGTTTGGTTGGCTGTTTCAGCTGAGGTTGTTGGCGGTTGCCAGATGGCGTGGCTCGCGCGCAGAGGCGTGGTTGGGGTTGTCGGTTTGGCGTTTCACACTCGGTGCACAGACTTCGTTTTTTGGCGCTCTTGCGCGCTCACATGTTTGCAGTGTGTTTTTGCTCTCCTGCAGGGTCCATGTCAGGCAATCACTGCCCCTCATCAGCGGACTTCGCATCTTCATAAGGAGCAGCGCTAACTACCAAACAATTGTTGCGTTGTTGCCTTTTGACCGTAAATCCCCCCTTAACGAAGTGGAGGGGAGGATTGGAGGACAGATCACCGCTAAAGTCCGTCTGTCTGTCGCCGGAGCAATGTAGCGACGTCGTAGGGCGACGTCGTAGACGGAGTCCGGAGCTAGCGAAGTTAGCGTAGGAAAGGGCTCAATATGGGAGGGGGGGGTTTCGTGTAACCTAAATTTGGTAACGTCCATAGCGCGGATAGCGCTCCAAAAAATCGCGATTGGCGCGGACGACCCGGGTTCGAACCCCATCGACTGCAAAATGTTATTTTTTGTTTTTCGTGTTTTTGGCCAAATCGCCACGAATCGCAATTCAACGCGACTCTTTTTATCATCAATGAATGTTAAAATGCGCAGACACGAGTGTGGCTTGCAAGTCAGGTTGCAACTTGCGGCTGGAGGGGGGGGGGGCTTCGCCCCCCCCCCTAACCCCCCCCCCTTCTAGCGCCCAACTTACGTGCGCAGTCCAGGTTATTGGCAAGAGAGAAGATGGTGCTTGAGCGTACGTGCGTGTGGTTGGTACGTCATAGCGAAACGGTTGGTGACGAGCTCATACACGGCTTGGGCGCACACAACAGGCTGCAACTTGCGGCTGGAGGGGGGGGCTTCGCCCCCCCCCTAACCCCCCCCCCCCTCTTCTAGCGTCCGACTTACGTGCGCAGCCCAGGTTATTGGCAAGAGAGAATATGGTGCTTGGGCGTACGTGCGTGTGGCTGGTACGTCATAGCGAAACGGTTGGTGACGAGCTCATACACAGCTTGGGCGCACACAACAGGCTGCAACTTGCGACTGGAGGGGGGGGCTTCGCCCCCCCCCTAACCCCCCCCCCTCTTCTAGCGTCCGACTTACGTGCGCAGCCCAGGTTATTGGCAAGAGAGAATATGGTGCTTGAGCGTACGTGCGTGTGGCTGGTACGTCATAGCAAAACGGTTGGTGACGATATACACGGCTTGGGCGCACACAACAGGCTGCAACTTGCGGCTGAAGGGGGGGGGCTTCGCCCCCCCCCCCTAACGCCCCCCCCTCTTCTAGCGTCCGACTTACGTGCGCAGCCCAGGTTATTGGCAAGAGAGAATATGGTGCTTGAGCGTACGTGCGTGTGGCTGGTACGTCATAGCGAAACGGTTGGCGACGAGCTCATATACGACTTGGGCGCACGCACCAGGCTGCAACTTGCGGCTGGAGGGGGGGGGCTTCGCCCCCCCCCTAACCCCCCCCCCTTCTAGCGCCCAACTTACGTGCGCAGTCCAGGTTATTGGCAAGAGAGAAGATGGTGCTTGAGCGTACGTGCGTGTGGCTGGTAAGTCATAGCGAAACGGTTGGTGACGAGCTCATACACGGCTTGGGCGCACACAACAGGCTGCAACTTGCGGCTGGAGGGGGGGGGGCTTCGCCCCCCCCCTAACCCCCCCCCCCTCTTCTAGCGTCCGACTTACACGCGCAGCCCAGGTTATTGGCAAGAGAGAAAATGGTGCTTGAGCCTGCGTGCGTGTGGCTGGCACGTCTTAGCGAAACGGTTGGCGACGAGCTCAGACCCAAGTTGGTCGTACACACCAGTCTGGATGTCTGTCTGGCCCCAGGCTGCTTGCTCAAGCGGCGTGAAGCAGGCAAGTCGTACCCTCTGTCCACGAGATGCAGCCTGGTGTGTACGCCACGAGTCGCAATTCAACGAGACTCATTGTAACAACATTGAATGTTGATATGCTCAGACACGTCTTGGGCGCACACACCCGGCTGCAATTTGCGGCTGCTTGCGACTTTGCTTCGCCCCCCTCCTACCCCCCCCCCTCCCCCTTTTAGCGTCCAACTTAAGTGCACAGCCCAGCTTATTGACAAGAGAGAATATGGTGCTTGAGCGTGCGTGCGTGTGGCTTGTAGGTCATAGTTAATTAGTTGGCGACAAGCTCAGACACGAGTTGGATGTACACACCAGGCTGCATCGTTTGCTTCTTCCATTACTACACTAATGGGCGTGTCCGAAGGAAGATATGTCGGAAACTTCCCTTTCTTATCCTGTTGGACAAGAAACAAATCATTCTGTATATGGTGACGGTTGGTGCGGGCAGCAACAGGGTTGGGCTCTAAGCCGCCGGTAACATTGCGAGCGCATTTCTGGCAAAGGCAAAAGACCTTTCCCTGTCCGCCCGTCATTGTCATAGCTGAACCTAGCAACAAGACTAAAACAAGAACCAACAGCACCATTGCATATCCTTGCCAAGTCTGTAAGCTTTGTCGATTTGAGCCATTATGTGTAAAGCTAGCACGCGGCATTTATAAACATAGTAAAGAAAACATATTACGATTGACTACTGGACTGGCAAACTGGCGAAAGCGAGCAGGTCAGATATGAGACTTGACAGGTCCTGTCAAGTCTCAACTGCCGTACACATTTCGCTAGAGTTGTGTAGTGTCTACTGTAACTAAACAGTAACAGTATGCATATTGTAACACTTTAGTCAAGAACCTTTGGCAGAGCATAACAGCCAAACGAATTAGACACTGACACCTTTCAAACACTAGTAGTTTATGTTGGTAATGATACGTGCAAAATGACATTTTCTGTTTTTCTTACTTTTGGTCAAACCGCCACGAATCGTAATTAAACGACTTGGGCGCACACACCAGGCTGCAACTTGCGGCTGAAGGGGGGGGCTTCGCCCCCCCCCTACCCCCCCCCCCCCCTAGCGTCCAACTTACGTGCGCAGCCCGGCTTATTGGCAAGAGAGACGATGGTGCTTGAGCGTGCGTGCGTGTGGCTGGTACGTCATAGCGAAACGGTTGGCGACGAGCTCATACACGACTTGGGCGCACACACCAGGCTGCAACTGGCTGCAACTGCAACGTACGCAAGCAGCCTGGCTTATTAGCAAAGTAAGGTTGATGCTCAAGCGGCGTTAAGCAGAGAACCGAGAAGGGCGCACACACCAAGCTGCAGCTCGTGGCTGGAGGGGCAAAATGCCATTTTTTGGGTTTTTCGTGTTTATGGACTAATCGCCACGAATCGCAAACCAATGCGAGTATTTATAACAACATTGAATCAGTACGATCTGACCCGAGTTGGGCTTGCAAGTCAGGCTGCAACGTTCGGCTAGCCCCTTCTAGAGTGCAACTTACATGCGGCTGCTACACTCGCAGCCCGGCTAATTAGCAAGAGAGAAGTTGGTGCTTGAGCGTGCGTGCGGCTGGTGTCTCATATGGAAACGTTTGGTAACAAGCAGAGACCCAAGAATGGCGCCGGGCGCGAGAAAAGGAGGGGGGGGGGGTAGGGGGGGGGGGGCGCAGCCCCCCCCTCCAGCCGCGAGATGCAGCCTGGTGTGTACACCACGAATCGCAATTAAACGAGACTCTTTCTAACAACATTGAATGTTGATATGCTCAGACACGACTTGGGCGCACACACCAGGCTGCAACTTGCGGCTGGAGGGGGGGGGTGCAGGCAGGGCTTGCAACACCCGGGGCTGTGTCGCAACACCTGGGGAGGGCTTGTAACAAGGTGGAAGGGCTTGCCACAGGGGCAACGTTTTTGCCACATGTCTGGCAACACGTGGCTCATGCAAGGCAGGTGCTTGCTGGTGGGACATCGGGCAATCTATGAGGGTTTGGTATGCATGCGGTACTCGACGGAGGAGTTGAACCTCAGAAAGCGGCCTTCCGCAAAGAGTAGCTTGCATAAATGATGCAGGGTGTAAGGCATGCAGCAGTACTGGTCGAGGTGCAAGATAGGGGTGGCATGAACGAGTGCTTAGAAGAGCAATCTGCAGCGGGGGTGGCGGCAGGGAAGGACGCGCTAAGCAAGGAGAGGGTAGACTTGCAGCGGGGACAGCACGTGCGCATGCAATGTTGCGGGTAAGAGGGAGGGCTAGGGAGGAGGCAAGTGTGCAGCAGGATTGGGCCATGGGTGAAGCAGGAAGGGTTGGGGCTGGCAGGAAGGGATGCAGCGCCGACCTATACAACAAACAGCTGTTCGCATATGTGTCTTACCTCCATGCGGGGGCTGCTAGCGGGCTAGCGGCCAAATGCTCCTTGTCTCCGCCCTCCGATGCTTCCTACAGCACGAGGGGAGGCCTTGCATGCGTCAAAGGGAGGAAGGAAAAAGCGCGGGGGAACGAGAAGGAGAGCAATCTGCAGCGGGGGTGGCGGCAGGGAAGGACGCGCTACACAAAAAGAGGGTAGACTTGCAGCGGGGACAGCACGTGCGCATGCAATGCTGCGGGTAAGAGGGCGGGCTAGCGCGGGCCATGGGGGAAGCAGGAAGGGTTGGGGCTGGCAGGAACGGAGGCAGCGCCGAACTATACAACGAACAGCTGTCTGCACATCTTGTCTTACCTCCATGCGGGGGCTGCTAGCGGGCTAGTGGCCAAACGCTCCTTGTCCCCGCCCTCCGCTTCCTACAACACGAGGGGAGGCCTGCATGCGTCAAAGGGAGTAAGGGAAAGGCGCGGGGGAAGGAGAAGGAGAGCAATCCGCGGCGGGGGTGGCGGCAGGGAAGGACGCGCTAAACAAAAAGAGGGTAGACGTGCAGCGGGGACAGCACGTGCGCATGCAATGCTGCGGGTAAGAGGGAGGGCTAGGGAGGAGGCAAGTCTGCAGTGGGATTGGACCATGGGGAAAGCAGGAAGGGTTGGGGCTGGCAGGAACGGATGCAGCGCCGAACTATACAACGAACAGCTGTCTGCACATGTTGTCTTACCTCCATGCGGGGGCTGCTAGCGGGCTAGTGGCCAAACGCTCCTTGTCCCCGCCCTCCGATGCTTCCTACAGCACGAGGGGAGGCCTGCATGCGTCAAAGGGAGTAAGGAAAAGGCGCGGGGGAAGGAGAAGAAGAGCAATCCGCGGCGGGGGTGGCGGCAGGGAAGGACGCGCTACACAAAAAGAGGGTAGACTTGCAGCGGGGATAGCACGTGCGCATGCAATGCTGCTGGTAAGAGGGCGGGCTAGGGAGGATGCAAGTGTGCAGTGGGATTGGACCATGGGGGAAGCAGGAAGGGTTGGGGCTGGCAGGAACGGATGCAGCGCCGAACTACGCAACGAAGAGCTGTCTGCACATGTTGTCTTACCTCCATGCGGGGGCTGCTAGCGGGCTAGCGGCCAAATGCTCCTTGTCTCCGCCCTCCGATGCTTCCTACAGCACGAGGGGAGGCCTGCATGCGTCAAAGAGAGGAAGGAAAAAGCGCGGGGGAACGAGAAGGAGAGCAATCTGCAGCGGGGGTGGCGGCAGGGAAGGACGCGCTACACAAAAAGAGGGTAGACTTGCAGCGGGGACAGCACGTGCGCATGAAATGCTGCGGGTAAGAGGGCGGGCTAGCGCGGGCCATGGGGGAAGCAGGAAGGGTTGGGGCTGGCAGGAACGGAGGCAGCGCCGAACTATACAACGAACAGCTGTCTGCACATCTTGTCTTACCTCCATGCGGGGGCTGCTAGCGGGCTAGTGGCCAAATGCTCCTTGTCCCCGCCCTCCGCTTCCTACAACACGAGGGGAGGCCTGCATGCGTCAAAGGGAGTAAGGGAAAGGCGCGGGGGAAGGAGAAGGAGAGCAATCCGCGGCGGGGGTGGCGGCAGGGAAGGACGCGCTAAACAAAAAGAGGGTAGACGTGCAGCGGGGACAGCACGTGCGCATGCAATGCTGCGGGTAAGAGGGCGGGCTAGGGAGGATGCAAGTGTGCAGTGGGATTGGACCATGGGGAAAGCAGGAAGGGTTGGGGCTGGCAGGAACGGATGCAGCGCCGAACTACGCAACGAAGAGCTGTCTGCACATGTTGTCTTACCTCCATGCGGGGGCTGCTAGCGGGCTAGTGGCCAAACGCTCCTTGTCCCCGCCCTCCGATGCTTCCTATAGCACGAGGGGAGGCCTGCATGCGTCAAAGGGAGGAAGGGAAAAGCGCGGGGGGAAAGAGAAGGAGAGCAATCCGCGGCGGGGGTGGCGGCAGGGAAGGACGTGCTAAGCAAGGAGAGGGCAGGCTCACAGCGGAGACAGCATGCGTGCATGCAATCGTGGTGAGGAAAGAAGAAGGAGAGCAATGTAATGGGGTGGTGGCGGGCAGAGATAAGGAAGGCATATGGCAAAGACGGCATATGCACCTGCACTGCAGGTACGAAAGTGGATCGGGGAGGAGGGGGGGGGGCAGTGCGTCAAGGAGGGCCAGCAAAGAAACACTTACAAGACCCGGTTCTTGCTCAGGGCAGTTACCCTGCTGCTACCCAACACATAGGCACCCAAGCCGCTGCCGCCTGAGACAGACGTCTGCACCGCTGCCACCTGAGCAGCTGCCGCGCGAGTTGCTATTCCCAGAGCTGCTACCGCCTGATTCGTTGCCACCTGAGCTGCTACTTGCTTCTAGCTTACCTGTGATGGCGAAGGAAGACATCAGTCGCTTGGGCACAAAAGGTCGTCATTGTCATAAGAATGGACACATCTTCACCACCTGTCCCAAGCTACATGTCCAGGGCTTGTGCATACATTGTCTGGCCGTCATCGCGCAGGTGCATTAGGGCATGGGCTTTGGCTATCAAGTGCAGGTGCCAGAGCAAACTAGCTGCCGAGTATTCTCCATAAGGCTCCACGCGCAAGGCACAGTCACTATTGCTAATACGGTCGCTGCTCCTGGATGCCAGAATGCCGATGCTAGGTCAGCACCAAGAAATGTATGTTTGCAGGTGGAATGGCTTTTGTAATGTCTTTTGCATTTGGTACAAGACACAGAGCCGTCGCTGTGTAACAAGACAGCCAATATCGTGTAACCGCGACCAGTTTGCTTAAAAGAAGAGCATCCATTGTCCCCTAAGACAGTGTAAGGTTATGCAGTATCCTAAAGATAGCAAGGCTGTTTGGATTTCCGGCTAGTTGTCTACTAGGATCCCAAAAGACGACTTCACACGTCGTCTTTAAGTACGGCACTATACTTCTTGTCCTTATACAAAAGCTCATCATCTACCTGACAAAACAGCAAGACATTACGTGTTGCCCGTTATGTTTATGCTTCGACCCAATGGTTAGCCGACCAAACAGGGCACCACCACACTGCAATGCCGACGCTGTTACTGCTTCACACTACCGCATAAATCTTCCGCACATATAAATACAGCGGATGACAACGGGTGCCTGGGGATGCCGGGCTTAAGTAGTGCAAGGGTAATAGGAGAAGGATGTCGCGCCTCGCTTTTCCACAGCTTTAAAAGGTAACAGAAAATTAAACTCGCAGGAGTATCAAAGCTGGTTGTGCTGTTGACATAACTCGGCAAACAATGCCCTTCAAAAAGACGACGTCTGACGTCGCTTTCCAAGAACGGCATTCTCACGACTTGCCCTTATACTCCAGCGACAGTGTTGGGTCGCAGACAGAAGATAACGGTACGTACTCACATTCACGCCATAGCTTGGGTACAGACAATTGAACTGCAAACCAAAACTTGATACACCGCAATTCGAAAGGTACTTTCGACAACCACTACACCCACATACAAACCAAAGCGGTCTACATAGGATTAACAAAGTCTAATGGTATATATAATGAAATAAAGGGGCTGCTTGCAGTCCAGCAATGACAACGGCGTCTTACACAGACTGGCATGCGTGTCGCAAAGGACCAGAATACGTTATCGAAATTTAAAAGTCGTATACCTTGCTATGTGGCGCCGAAGTAACGTAGGAGGCCCACGCCAAAGAGCACCACAGGCGAGTGCGATTCAGCCCCACTCCCAGGGATGGAGTCACCTGCCCGACTTGCACACAGATAAAAGTACGTCCAGCCACTTTAAGGAAATACATTAGCATTAATACCCTGTCGGAAGCCAGTTGGCTGTATAAGGTGGAAGAGACCGAGTGGGAGGCGCTGTTTGAAACAGGCTGGGTGAAATGACACATCCCCTCGTCCCATTTCACCAAGACACACATATATGTACCCACGCTGTACTCGGCCCCTTGCCCCGTGCAACCCAGGCAGGAACGCATGCCGGCCCTCCAACAGTACTCGCCCCCTTGCCCCGTGCAACCTGCATACGCATGCACGCAATCCTGCTTCACGCGCCCCATCGCCCCCTGCAACTCAGACACGCATGCATGCAAGCACTCCCACATTAGTCGACCCATCGCCCCAAGCAACTCAGACACGCATGCATGCAAGCACTCCCACATTACTCGCTCCGTCGCCCCATGCAACTCAGACACGCATGCATGCAAGCACTCCCTCATTCCTCAACCCATCGCCCCATGCTACTCAGACCCGCACGCATGCAAGCACTCCCACATTACACGTCCCCTCGCCCCTTGTAGCCCCCACACGCATGCAAGGCACCCCCGCTTTACTCGCCTATTCGCCCCATGCAACCCACGCATGCGTGCATGCCAGCACTCTCACAGTACTCGCCCCCTCGTCCCGTGCAACCCACACACACATGCACGCACCCCCGCTTCAAGCGCCCCCTCGAACTCAGACACGCATGCATCCAAGCACTCCAACATTACTCGCCCCATCGCCCCATGCTACTCAGACCCGCACGCATGCAAGCACTCCCACATTACACGTCCCCTCGCCCCTTTTAGCCCCCACACGCATGCAAGCACCCCCGCTACTCGCACCCTCACTCCCAGCAACCCACGCACGCGCGCATGCAAGCACTGCCATCATACTCACCCCCTTGCCCCGTGCAGCCTGCTCACCACGCATGCACGCATTCCCACTTCACGCCCCCTCGCCCCATGCAACCCACACACGCACGCATGCAAGCATCCCAACTTTACTCGGCCCATTGACCCATGCAACTCAGACACGCACGCATGCAAGCACTACCACATTCATGTCCAATTGTCCCATTTAGCCCACACACACATCTGTGTACCCCGGCTTTACTCGGCCCCATCGGCCCTTGTGGCCACCACACACATGCACGAACTACCACTTCACACGCCCCACTCGCCACCTGCAACCCACACACGCACGCATGCAAGCACCCCTACATTGATCGCCGCCTCGTCCTGTGCAACCCACACACGCATTCATTCGCCCCCGCATTACTCGCCACCATTTTCTTCACTCCATTCAACTCAAGCACGAACGCATGCCGGCACTCCCACAATACTCGCCCCCTCGCCCCGTGCAAGTTGCACATACACGCATGCACGCAATCCTGCTTCACGCGCCCCATCGCCCCATGCAATCCACACACGCACGCATGCAAGCGCCCCCACTTTACTCGCCGCCTCACAACCTGCATCCCAGACACGCATGCAGGCACCCCCGCTGTCCTCGCCCCCCCAATCCATGCAACCCAAGCACGAACGCATGCCATCCCTTTCACAGTACTCGCCCCCTTGCCCCGTGCAACCTGCATACGCATGCACGCAATCCTGCTTCACGCGCCCCCCCCCCGCCCCATGCAACTCAGACGCACATGCATGCAAGCACCCCCGCTTTACTCGCCCCTTCACCCCATGCCACCCACGCACGCAGGCATGCCAGCACTCTCACAGTACTCGCCCCCTCGTCCCATTCAAGCCACACACGCATGCCCACACTCCCGCTTCACTCCCCCCTCGCCCCATGCAACCCACACACGCACGCAAGCAAGAACCCCGAATTAACTCGTCCCACGGCCCCATGCAACTCGGACCCGCACGCATGCAAGCAATCCCACATTACTCGCCCCGTCGACAAATGCAACTCAGACCCGCACGCATGGAAGCACTCCCACATTCTGCCTGTACTCGCGGTTCACATGCGAACCTCTCCCAATTGCTTGTTCTTGTCCTACTCAACTACACACATACGTGTACTCCCACTTTACGCGCCCCGTCACCCCATGCAACCCACGCACGCGCGCATGCCAGCACTCTCACAGAACACGCCCCCTCGTCCCGTGCGACCCACACACGCATGCACGCACTCCCGCTTCACGCGCCCCCTCGCCCCATGCAACCCAAGCACGAACGCATGCAAGCACTCCCACAGTACTCGCCCCCTCGCCCCATGCAACTCAGACCCGCACGCATGCAAGCACTCCCACATTACACGCCCCCGCGCCCCTTGTACCCTCCACACGCATGCAAGCACCCCCGCTTTACTCACCCCTTCACCCCATGCAACCCACGTACGCACGCAAGCCAGCACTCTCACAGTACGCGCCCCCTCGTCCCGTACAACTCACACACGCATGCACGCACCCCCGCTTCAAGCGCCCCCTCGCCCCATGCAACTCTGACACGCATGCATGCAATCAGTCCCGCATTACTCGCCCCATCGCCCCATGCTACTCATACCCGCACGCATGCAAGCACTCCCACATTACTTGTCCCCTCGTCCCATTTAGCCCACACACACGGCCAGTTTTCTTAACGCACATATGTGTACCCCTGCATTACTAGGCCCCATCGCCCTCGTAGCCCCCACACACATTCACGCACTCCCGCTTCACACGCCCCCTCGCCACCAGCAACACACACACACGCACGCATGCAAGCGCCCCCACTTTGACCGTCCCCCCTTGCAACCCACACACGAATGCAAGCACCCCTGCTTTTCATGCCCCCTCACTCCATGCAAACCACACACGAACGCATGCAAGCCAGCACTCTCACAGTACTCGCCCCCACGTCCGGTGCAACCCACACACACTCAACATTCCCGCTTCAAGCGCCCCCTCGCCACATGCAACCCAAGCACACAAGCATGTAACCCGAACGCATGAGCACTCCCACATTACTCGCCCCATGCCACATGCAACCTGCACATGCATGCACGCACGCAATCCTGCTTCACGTGCCCCCTCGCCCCATGCAACCCACACACGCACGCCCCATGCAACCCATACATGCACGCCTTCAAGCACCACCACTTTACTCGCCGCCACACAACCTGCAACCCACACACGAATGCAAGCACCCCTGCTTTTCTTGCCCCCTCGCTCCATGCAAGCCAAGCACGAACGCATGCATGCACTCCCACAATACTTGACCCCTTGCCCCATGTAGCCTGCACACGCATGCACGCATATTCCCACTTCAAGCGCTCCCTCGCCCCATGCAACCAACACACGCACAAATGCCAGCCCT